AGAAGCGAGAAAAGGGAAGGAGGTGCACAAAGCCCTTAACTCCACCATTGCCCTTCTGGGAGCTAGTCCTACAGGTATTCTTGCAAATGGGCAAACAATGGATAGTCACGATGTTCCTGCAAATAGCAAGCAACCTAAACCCTCAATGCTATGGAATATTACTTAACCATTACAAAGAATGAAACTGATCTTTAGGGCTTGGTACTCTATAGTAATAGTCCAGACCTATTGTGAAGTGCATGAGCCAGGCTCTGAAGGGTTTAGTATGCTATGCTCTGGACAGTAGTGTGCATGCACACACAGACTGGGGAGACACACAGGAGTGGTGGCATTCTGGCTTGGGGATTCATGGTTAAGTCTGCCCAGTAGACCACACTCTTTTGAGGAGTGATAAGGGTTTCAGTGACCATCGAATGGATTACCTGCCATGGTCTCCAGCTTATAAACAATATCAACATCCTTCTGACTACCGGCATGGCCCTACCAGTTACCACCTGCCTGCCTGACCAGAAGATGGGCTAGCGGTGGGAACAACTGGGGCTTATCCCTGAAAGGCCCCGAGTCAACTCACTTCCCACCCAGCGTATACCTGACCTCCAAGTACAGGGACAGTCTGGGGTAAGCCCAGCTGCTATGCCAGGTCTTGAGGTCTGCAGGAGTGAAGCAGGCCAGGGACGTGGCTAAGGTTATATTGTCAGAGCGCGATCCAGGTGGGCCCAGGACCTACCAGTACAGCCTTGTGCAAGCCGAACAGCCACTTGAGGGAGCAGCAGGATCTAAGTAGATATGCACTGGCATGTTTCAGGCCACCAGTAAAACAAAGATGGTGACTTGGCCTACACTGAACGCTTGGGGCTGGAAAGGGGGCAAGAAGGCTGAGGAGAGACAATGAGGGGAATCTGTTGGAAATAATGCAGGAAGTGCTGGCTGCAGTCTGGTTGGGAAGATTAAGGGATCTCTGGCTGGTTGGATGCCAACTGAAGGTTTGCTATCTCTACTGTGGGAAGATCCTTCTCGTGGTGTGAGGGCAGCGTGCTGGGGGTCAGGCTGGAGACCGTGAGACCCCTTGAAAGGCAGTGACAGTCACTCGGGTGAGCCAGCCTGGTGGCCTAGCCCACGGCAGGGGTGGGTGAGAGGTGTTTTGAGAGGTGTTTGGGAAGAAAAAACACTTAATCAGAAAAAGGAAACCAACAAAGGAAGAGAAGTCAGAGCTAACTCGAACTTCTAGATCAAGGAACAAGGTACAGAATGTCCACCTTGGACAGGAGAACCCCAGATTTGGTAAAATAGTTCAGAGGTGTCTGAGGGATGCCTGGAGAGGCCAGCAGGTATTCACCTTCGGTCACTCAGTCCATCAACAGCTGTTAAGCATGTACCTACATGGACAAGTGAGACAAGATCCCTAGAGAAGACAGGCAGAGAACAAGCAACCAACCAGGAAAGGTACAGATCAGGAAATGTGCTATAGAGCCAATAGACAAGGAGAGGGCAGAGGAGCAAGAACTGAGGCCACATCTGGACTGTTGGGACAGGAGACAGGAGACCTACTGGGGAACGACAGGTAAGGTCAGAGGATACGCATTAGTAAAAGCATTCTAGGAACAGAAAATGCTATTGGAAAGCCAGATGCCAATGCTCACCCCTGTCATCCTAGCTACTCAGGAGGCTGAGATCTGAGGATCACAGTTGGAAGCCAGCCCAGGAAGACAAATCTGAAACTCTTCAATTAATCGAAAAAAAAAAAAAGTGAAGCTGTGGCTCAAGAGGCAGAGCATTAGCCTTAAGCAGAAAAAGCTCAGCAACAGTGCTCCGGCCTGAGTGCAAGTAGAGGCAACCAGGCAAAACAGCCAACTTTAACTGGCAGAGGAACTTCTGGGCAGATCTGTTTTCCTTCCTAAGAGACTCTACAGGACTTTAGGGAAACAATTAAACATAGTTAATTCATCTGTAAACATTTCCACGGTCACTTGGAACATTTCCCTCTCTTTCTAGGCAACCTCCTCTGCCCTGGTCTAGCTCGGTGCTGGCCGGTGGGTGCCAGGCTCCTGGCTGCTCTCCCGTGCTGTGAGCTTTTCTGCCTCTCGCTGGGCGGATCAGAGCTCTGCAAACAGGGGCTCCAGGGTGTCCCATTTTGTCCTGCAGATGGGACACGGACACACACACGCACGCACCCACACGCACACACCACGACTCCTGCTTTCCAAGAATTTAGAGCCGTGAAAACGCATCGCATGCCCTGAGTGTGCACATTATTAGTACAGAGGCCAGCTGTCGGTCACCCGAGCCAGAGACTGACCACCTGCCCTGGGAACAACCGGGACACTTCCGATACCCCTCGGCTTCCCGGGCCGCCCGGAGACGCCTGGTGCGGGGGTACCGGGTTCCGGAGCTGCAGGAACGGGAACGGGACGCGCTCCTACGGCAGAACTGAGCCCTCCGGGTGGGCCTCCTCTGCCGGACCCGGCGCAGCTCCGCGGGCTGCAGGCGGCCCGGGTCCGCGCCGTCCGTGTCCCCGGCGCGCCGGCCAAGCAGGGACTTCCCCGCCGCCGCCGCGCCGCCGCCGGGACCTTTCCCCTACTTTCCAGGCCTCAGGCCCCGCCCCCTGCCCCCGACCAAAACACGTGCCGCCTCTCGCTCGGCCTGATCACGCCGCGGCCAGGCTCCGATCACGCGGCCCTCCTCAGCGCCCATTGGCCGGCCGCGTTCGAGCCGAGCGCGGATTGGCTGGGGGAGGCAGGCCCGCCCCCTCCAGGGCGCGGTGTATTTTGGTTTGCCCGCGCGC